TCGGGAAAGCAGTCAGTCAGGGGCCTGTCATAGGACTCAGCGTATATACGTGGCCATTACGGGAACAGGATGAGGGTAAACTGTCGGTGTTCGAACACCGCTGTCTCCGTCGCATTGCACTAGTCTGTTGGGGTAACCGGACAAGCAATGTTTAGGTTAAACGACGCTGATCCACTACTCCTGATGTGCATGGGTGAGTTGTCGAGAACAGAGTCCCCGTAAAGTGATAAAATATTTTGTATGGCCAGTTAGTCGCTTCGGTAAAAGGACCAGAAAGTGTTGTATACTTGTTCTAATTGTTTCCTCTGGGGACGATGTTTGAAACCTGACAAAGTGTGACCTCACTGGCCTAATGTATTGTATCTCATATTCGCTCATTTTAAATAGATACACTGTGTGTAGGCACAACCTCGAAGCTGTATTACTGGTTTCTCGAAATAATTCGGTGCTACTAACTGCACCGCCATCAGCGTTAGCCGTACTCCCAACACGTGCGTTGGCTGGTAGTGTTGTACGTACTAGTCATTTGTGAGTAGTATGTTCGGATTGAACGAACTAATGTGGCTGGTGGTTTCTCAGTGGTCAAAAACGAGCCAGATCTCCTAGAGCGAATTAGTGTTCAAAATTCTAAATATAGAAGGTGCGCATCTACCCTCGAACCGTTCCATCAATTATCCTGCGTGCTTGTGGGAAGTATAATGACCTATTACAAGTTAGACATTTTATTGTATGTACACCAATTTATGGATACACTTACCGTTGTTCATGGTAAATAACGCTCATCGTCACGGCACTGTTCTGTGGCTACATAGCAGTAGTATGTACTGCCATCTCTTTGGTTCGTCGGGTGTTCGAACCTCATCACTACCTCCCCCGAACTTCTCCACTTCAGGTCCGCCGAAAGAATTTTTATTTTTCGTGATAATTGATAATACAGTTTTCCGAATAAAAATACAAAATATTATTACTCTTTTATTGTACTGTGGTTAACCCGGAAAACTGACTTTCGCTTGACCGGGGTTGCTTTAAAATAAACTAATTGCCACATTAGTTACGGTTATGTCTGTCTACTTACCACTTTCAGACCTTCGTGCATATAAGATGACGATTTTCCTAATGCGTGTGCAAATTTGTAGTTTGTCGTTACAGCTTCAATTTTTTACAACCATTAACCATGCGCTTTCGTGCGCCGGTTTTGGTTGCTGTCTTTTGACCGCCCATTTGTAGGAAACAGTAGAATGATGATTAGAATGTTGACAGCAGATTCAAGCGGAAGATAGCGCATTTATATAGACTGAAGTTACGAGAATAATGAGTAGATGCATAAGCGCCACTGTTTGCGATACGCAGCCATATCACCCAGTGTCTCTAATCATCAATGACCATGATGTCGGGGTCCCCAGCCAGGGAGCTTAACGGTACCTATGTGACCCAGTCTTCTGGTTAGGATTTTCATACCCTCATGGCATATCTTAATTTGATCGCCCTTGCCTTTTTTCGAACCGCTTACTGCCTCGGAAAACATCATTCGCCTTGGCAACCTATCTGGTGACATGCGCAGCACATGATCCAACCAACGTGAACTACGGAGATTGACTGCTTGCTCCAGTGGAGACCGCGTTTATCGAAAATGACGCTTAACCTCAGCATTGCTCGTCCGGTTACGCCACTAGACTCGTGCAATGCGACGTAGACAGCGGTGTTCGAACACCGACAATCTATTTTTATCCTGTTCCCCCAATGGTATCGTAGAATAGCACTGGTGGAATAGCCGCAGTATGTACTCGACCCTTCACAAACAGCCGGATGTCGCGACGGCGTCACAGATGTTTCAAGTTGACAAATACCAACCTTCTGTATGCGCGCTGACACTTCATCTGTGATGCGTCCGCCAGTTTGTTGAGCCTCGTGTCGTGAAAAACACGGTTTAAGATGGAATTCTACGGTGACCCATGTTGTCTTGTAGCACGTAAATCGGACTTCTACTACTTCTATTTCTTCCTGTTTATTCCTTGGAGTAACCAAGTCCGCATTTATAAACGGAAACATTATCTTTCTGTTGTTCTTATTTCCGATCTGTNTTCTCTCGAATTTGCAAACTATTTTGTGTTTTCCAGTAGTTGATTTGCAAACTGCACGTCCAGGTTCAAGTCGCTACGAACTTAATTTATCTATACTATTGACAATTCTTAACAAAGATAAAACGGCTTTGTAAGTAGTGCCTTCAGGGCTTTTCGGTATTTCGGGTGACATGGACGTTACATAACGAATCACTTTCGATCTTTTGATTGTATCCGAATCAACTCGCCCACATCATAGTCCACTCCGGTTACATATACTTGTTCGAAATGTCGATCATTTCTGTCGAATCTTATTTGACAACAAGCATTCGAAATAATTGGTCCTCTTACATATTTCTCACATGTATGTACACACGATACGTGTAGCTCCGGGTATGCTCACTCCCTCAGCATCTGTTTGCCGGAGTAGAACGTAACACCACGCGTTTCGTTGCTTGATTGCGTCATGGTTGATTCTTCCCCTTTGTTCGCACAGGTTGATCATCGTCTCAGTAAAGCTGTAGTGGAGGATATTCCGACCAAAAAGCACCACACACTCAAGGTGAGTTGACACAGACGGGATGTGTTCATTTAAATTAGGTATTATTGAGTGCATATTAGATGCCTGACTAATCAAATAGCGATGAATGGTCACTTAGTAACCTTTGTTCATTTATTTGTGATGCATCTTTTTCTACTTCAGGTATCAACAAATTTGTCCATTTTGACTTCCACTAGCATAACAATACCGAGGTGCTTAACCACTTCACTCCCTAAGAGTTGCGTATTTAACTGGCTGCTATCAACCCATTTAATACAGAAACTGAACCCCGAAACAAGTTCTTCGTCAGAGATTCGGTTATCATTTACGTCCAAGGTCTCTTATGTGTCGTTACTAATCGGTTACTTGCACAATAAATGCAATGAGAGATTGGATATTTGTTTCATTGGTGCTTTGATTTTTTCAAATGCCTAGTTTCGTGTTCATTTCTAGACCTGAACCACGGATTGAAAGTTCCACCAAAGATGAGCCTAACACTGCTGTTAATGAACCGTTGAGATTTGGTCTCGCAGCTTAGGGGCACACCACCCATAGGGTGACAAGTTAGGCCCAACACAACTGGTTGTCGTCAGAAAGAGAAGAATTTAATCCTAGGACTTTACAAATCTGAATTCAGTATGATATATAAACAATCGCTTCATGCTTGTTCACGAACTTGTTTCAACTCCCGTTTCTTGGATGATACAGTTTCCAATTTCAATACGACGTGTTATAGATCACGGATTTCCGGTTCCACCCTTTGAACTGATCCTGAAGTCAATAAACGAAACAGATTATCACACATGGATGATTAGCTGTTACAAAATACTGTACTATATTACACTATATTCTGTTGTGCACATTCTCTACGTACTACACTGTCAGTTCCTCTGGGGGAAGATAACATACGGTTTTTCCCTTCTAATTGTTTGGTTTTTACACAACTCTGAATGTACATCTTCTCTGGTCAGTACGACCTACTTCACATTACGCCACCTATGGCCGTACCGGAAGTTCTGAAAGCCACACCNACAACTATGTGAATGTGGACACGGGCACGTTGCGACATAAAACCTTTCCAAACATATTCTCTCTGGGCGATTGTGCCGCCTTACCAACGTCGAAAACCGCTGCAGCAGTTTGTAAGTATATTCGTTTATTTTACTTTATTTCATGGAGTTCTCTTTGCTCCGCTAACTCTCATCGACATTGAGGTCAAATGCACCTCGGTGATGAATTTATAGATTATATACTTTATGACGGATTTTTGTGAAAGTAGTTGAAAAGTAAAAGAATATATCAACTTTGGTAGTCTAGTTTCCGTCCCTCGCCACACCGATGGTAGGCGGCCTCGCTATCATCCAGTCCAGTACCACGTCTATTCTAGTTGAACTTCATCTTGTTTTCTGGTCGTCCTGAGCGTGAATACGGTAGCTCCTCGCGACTACGGACTTTACCACTGCTGCTGTTCATCAAACAGCGGTGTGGATCAATGCATTTCGGAGTCCTATGATTAAACAAGCGGTATCGAGTTTCAATTAAAAATTAATTTCCGCAGGGTAGATTACTTTTTGGATTTGTCATGAGATCTCGTTTCTCCGGACCGTCAGGCCAGGTTGACTATTCTGAGTTTTCTTAAAGGTTCAGTTACAGGTTTCTCGACTATTAGCCATGCACTTTCATGGGCCGGTTTTGGTTACTGTTTTTTGGTTGCCCATTTGGGTAAAAGAGCGGAGTGAAGATAGAGAATCCCTATAGACTGGGTGTGCAAAAATAATGAGTAGATACACAAGCGCCACTATTTGCGACACAACTATATTACGCAATGTCCCTAAACATCGGCTACGATCATCCCGAGGTCCCTAGCCAGGGAGCCAAACAGCACCTATGTACATGAGTCCCCTGGTTAGGGTTTTCACACCCTCGTTCCAGGTCCTAGTTTGACCGCCCTTGCTTTTTTCTCAGTCGCTTCCTGCCTCAGCAAACATTGTTCACCGTAGCAACCTATTTAGTGACATGTAAAATACATGCCCCAACCAGCGTCATCTATGGAGGTCGACCGCCCGCTTCAGTGGACAACCGCGATTATCTAAAACTCTGCGTTTAACCTCAGCATTGCTTGTCCGGTTTGCCCACCACATTCGTGCAACGCTGCGTAGACAACAGTGTTCAAACACCGACAGTCTATTTGGATCCTATGTCCGTAGCGGCAAAGTTTCTGCACTGTACAGCAGCACTGACTAAGCGGCCGCAGGTTACACTCGACTCTTCAAAGACAGCCGGATGTCCCAACTTGTCAAGCGCTTGTCAAGCCTTCTCTATGGATGCCGACATATGTATTGTTTGCAAATGCGCGTAATTGTCGCTCGGTGGTATAAGAAGGGACCGAGCTGTTCAGATTCAATTTACGCAATGATGCAGTTATCCGAACCTGCAGGATACTGAGTTGTTTTCAATCGTCTTCCTAAATTAAGTTTTGTACTAACTACGTAAGCGTAAGACCGGGATCACTTTTGTGTGTAGAATAAGTTCCGTATAGTCGACTTTTACGAAACAGGTTGCGGTCAAACGAAGACTGCTTAGGAAATGGGCGGTGGTGGTGGGAGCCTAACTGACTCGCTGTTGTGATGCCCCTAAACAATCCCCGTTCACTCTGACGAGAGGAATAGAGGAAACTAGTTTGCACTTAGCCTAATTAATGTTTGGGTGTCGAACGCAACCCTCTCATTCATTCATTCAATTCAATGGCAGTTTTTCCGAATCAAATTCTAACAAGAATTTAATGTTTCGATGTTCCGATTATTGTTCACATCATTTGTAAGCGGTAACTTCACAACAGTTTACCCCGGGAACCTTGTTTACTGGAAGGCGAATCTATCTCCGTTTTTAAGCACCGATCCGTTTGTGTGTGGTCTATTCAGTTCGAGCAAACGAGAACAAAGAGCAATGCAATGGGAGTGTTTTTTCACTAATCGGTTCCATTCATTTTGTTACCTTAATCGGCATCATCCTTCGCTGTTTGGGATTCCATCAGGTTCTTCAAAGATCATCCCCATATTGGTCCGATTTGGTTTGTGCGTAATCGAGTGTTTTTCGGTGTCACATTCTCACTCTCGTTCTCCATTCTATTTGCCGAATCAATCCTTCTGGTTTTGTTGTTTTAACGTCCGGATTGTTCTGTTGAATTATGACATTTCGCTTTGCTATGCTACCGTCTCCGTCTGGATGAGCGACCACCCTGCGAGAATTGTGTGTGTGAGTGTGACGTCCTATCAGGTATGGTCGAGTAGTGATATGCATGGGTATATATATATATACCATCGGCTAACTTGACAGTAGTTAAAATCGAGGGCCGGAGGGGGAATTCGGGCAAAGAGGAAAATGAGAAGGAAAAAAACAGATAATGAAGAACAATTAGAAAAACAATCATTGTTATTTGTTTCATCATAAACTTTTACGGGGCATGAGATTTCAAAACAGACCGTACTGAATCCGCGCCACTGTTTTCTATTCTATGCCAGATCTCTTGTTGTATGCAGCTTACAACATTCCTCATCACTTGGGCCTCTACCTGGAAGGTAAACTACATAAATTGAAGATAGTAATAAAGCCAACTTCTTAATAAATCAGCAGTAAGTCATGGTCCGACCGCCGCAACACTTGAGGCCTTGCTCAGTACATGCAAAGACAGCGCGGAGAGATAGACGAAAGCACAAAACATGACTGAACGATCAAAGTCGGTTTAAAGCAATTTCTTCTTTTTAAAAAACTGTCAACACCCAACAGTCGGCGTGAATCTCATCATTACTCATCCTATGTTCCCCCACCGGACAGGCGGAATGTTTCGAAGACATCAGAGGTCGAATACAGAAAGTTGGCTAGTATCCACATTTCGGAAGGTCCACGCCTCACAGTCGTAGAGGGAAACATTACGAACCACGGTCATGTATATCCTTCTCTTTGTAAAATTTCGGATGACAGGGCGGTGCCACAGTTATCGCAGATAGGTGAAAGCTACCCTGGCTGTTCGTGGTGTGGTCTCTTGAAACATCACCTCCAACTACGATTAAGCTCCCAAAGTACTCTAAGCTCTCAGCTATCTGTGGCTGGTCACCACGGAGGGTGAGTACATGCATGCGCAGGCTTCTACCAGCCTTGTACAAGTGCTTTGCATTTGGATGGTGCAAAGCACATCATATCTCCATCGAAAAACGGTTCGAAAGCATGTTAGATCTATTGTGTATTGTCACCCTGCAAGGTGGAGAGGATTTAGATGACTTGTAAATGTTAGTCGAGACAGGACGTTAGAAGACAAGATCAAGATTTCCTGTGACCACATTCCCGTTGGAAGTGAGCACCTGTGGGTAGGGAGATAAGATGAAGGGGATAATTTATGTATACACGGTGTAAAACGATAGCGGTTATAGATTGGTGTGAAGATTTGAGGCTCGTTGACTGAAGAACGTCCATAGAAGTATGCGTTGTGGGCTGGACGTATTTCATTTACGTCTGAAACCTGACTGTGTGCCAAACAAATGATGGTATAATAATCTGTATGATCTTTACTACTGTGTCATCCAGTCCGGAGTAAGTTTTTGAGGATGAACTTTAGTCTTCGTGCAACGGCCACGAACTCCAAGATAGCCAGTTTTATGATTCATTCACTTCTTCTAAACAATCTTGTTGTCTAAACGGAATATCGAAATAGGTAATGACCATACTTATTGGTGGGTCACGTTCGCCACATCTTGGAGCTGTCTATCTGTCATGATGTAGGGTAGACAGCGCAAAATCGGCTACTAACCGGGATCCGATCGAGAAGTGAACACCCGGCCTTAACGCAATCCCGACACCGGCAACACCACAAGCATCGGATGCCGAATCGCCTGACATACGGAGAGTAAAGCGTGAGGGTGAGGCCGGGTCTGCAGATCGCAAGGTGATGATTGAAGTAGATTCTTGCGTGTTTCGGAGACAACATACATCTAGATTGAAAGTTTCAAGGATTCTGGTTAAGGCAGCTTGCTGACCAATCTGTTAGTGTGCGGTCATTGAGTGCAGCTAAGTGACAAGGAGACTTTGGTTTGAACAATCTGATAGCTTCTAGTTTTTTGACCTTACTAGTTGGATGCTGAGTGCATCTGCTCAATATTCTTGCAATCCCAGTGTATATGAATTCTCTATCTTTCCTTAAGTCCGCTTGCAAAATTTCTATCTTCATTCCACTTTTTTATCCGAATGGGTGATCAAAAGACAGCAACCACAACCGGCACCCAAAAGTGCATGGTTAATGGCTGCAAAAACTGAAGTTGTAGGGTAGATAATCTTGGCCAAATGGTAAATACAGCAAGTCCTCGAACGCTGCTACTGATCTTCCTCGACTGCTTATTCGGTGATACCACTAGTCCCGTCGAATTCACGGCTAGCCGCCATCGGCTGGTCAATGCTTGTTTCTCAACCTGGGAACGCGCTGGGTAGCATAACTGTTCCGTGGGTCTTGGTTATCGTTCATTCCTTCGGTTTACAATACAACTTCCAGGTGGTTAAGTGGCTGAATTCGCACTGCTACGAAACCCAGCCAGGTCGAAACGGCTATCACGTTCTTCCTAGCGTTCCAGCTCACGCTTCATTTGCTCTGTACAAGGCGAACTTCACGATATAATCAAATTAAATCCCCCATTACTTTGGTGATCATTGTTTATCGGTTACTTTTATGAATACTTGCTCTATTTTACTATCGTTGTGCATATTATATGCTTGTATTAAGCACTCGACATCAATAGGTTTTCGTCCCTTTTTGCTTTTCTCAGCTGTTCTAGGTGTGCCGGCTTCCCAATCAGACGCTGGACATTTATACTGACCATAGGTTGATGCTAGACTACTCGGTTGCTTTGCCCAAATTTGATCCATTTCGGGTTAACTTTAGCAAATCAGATCACATGTTTAATTGCTCTGTGTGCCAGTTTTTCTGCCGATAGCTTTTTTATCTTGATTTTCGCATTGATTTTCATCTCTCATATCTCATCAAATCGTTTTGCGTACGATTCTACATAGAAAACAAGCAGTTTTTTGCTACACACCGTTGTGTGATTAACAGCAGACGGGATGGAACCCTCTAGTCAAGAAGACCTGCTGTTCAGTGACGGTAACCGGCAACCGGAACCCCGGGACTTAGAGTGGCGAACCACAAAAGGTCCCGCTTGGTCAGGCGTGGTATAGAACCGGACGACGACAAAGCTGCCTGCCACTAAGTTAGGTGGCGGTGACGGGGCTCAAATCTCGGACCACAGGGTCCAAAGCACACCGGTAACAGCTACTAAACCACTACGCCACCACTGTTCGAAGGGCAACACAGAAAGAACTGAGTACGCACCGAAAAGTACCATAAAGGATGTACTCTTCAAATTTTTCCTGTGTTTCTACTCGATCACGCTCTAATTTTAGCCATGTAGTTATTATCAGTTCTTTATACATATATATATATATATATATATCTTTTCCAGCATCACAAGCGGAGACATTGTTTAAAAACTTGATGGATGTGGTCAACGGTGGTAGCGGAAAAGTTGCGCAAGTAAGTTTACCTGATCTGAAACTAATGACTGACTTGGTTTGCCTTCATGCTTGTATTCGGACATTTTCCTGTCCAATACAGTCCTCTCTGTCGGGAATGCCGTATAACGTCAAATATCATGTCATTGATAAAACCACGGGAGAATCATTGTATTGCATATCATGGGATGCAGAACAATGCAGTGGATATAAACTCACAGTCCCGGGGACTGATTAGACCATGGGATTTCGACTGACGAACCACATAATATTCCAATAAAATAGACGTGGTACTTACTCGGTTGACGGCAAAGTTACCCACGATTTGCTCGTGGGCTAAATACTATCATTTTGGGGGTGTGACAACTGTAGCCTTTGGCTAACCGAAACCTGACCAGCGGAGCAACTGGGTGATGTGCGAAAACCACAATCCATTGGAGGTCGGTGTCCGGTTCATCCGATCCTACTCCCTTTGATTAGGGCCAAACGCCCAAGGTGCACAGTACGCCAGGAAGACGAAAATCCTTCTGTCAATCGACTCTTTTCTATGAGTAAACTAACTAATAGGAATCCAATGAGAGTTCCAGGGATTTTGTGGAATGTGCTGAAATAAACTAGCAGCTTTGTTGTCGTCCGGTTCATTACCACGTCTTGCCTAATTGGGTCTTATGTGGTTTACCACTCTCAGTACAGAGGCTTCGGTTACCGGTTTCTATCAGTAAACAACAGGTCCTCTTGACTAAGAGGTTCGCCCCATCTGCTGTTCGTCACACAAATGTGTTTAATAAAAAATGACTCTCCAATTGTCTCAATCTTATTGGTCGCACCTGTCCTGGAACGTTCCAGTATCGGTTGTCACGCACATTTTCCAGGACACCCAAGGCTAATTCATGTATATATAATAAACACCTTTCCTCTTGAATTGTAACGCAGTTGTACTCCATGGAGTGCTGCTTTCGTGCTGTTCTTATTCGATTTTGATTTCGGTAGGTAGGCACATGGAGAGTTGGAACTGGACGTTTGATAGTTAATTCTTTAAAAGTCATTAGTAGCTGTATGCATCCGGATAGGCGAATCTTTAGCGTTTTACACTGCATTTATGGATACAAATTTATAGTCAGGCAAAATGAATTTGAGCTGTTCAGAAATTGGCTTTACCAATGAAGCAAGCAGTTATGTGGTTAATGTGGAAGCTTTCAACGAGTAGGTGTACAAGATATGGCCAAGTTTGAACCTGCAGCTTGTCGGTGGTGTGTATACGGATTTCGTAAGTCCGTTGTGTAATGGATGGTGAATAACTAAGAGTATTTTGG